AACCAAACGTACTGTGAGGATTGCAATGAAAAGAATGTTGGTCAAACTAAACGAACTATAATAATGCATTTCAAAGAACATGTTTCACATATTCGTGAGAAATACATGAAATTGTTGAGACAGGTATTTGACAAAAGGTTCCTAGACGCTATAAAGCAATGAAGGTTCCATTCCAAACAGTATGTTGTACTCTCTTACATGATAAGTAAAAATATAAACCAAATGATCTAACAAAAGCGTTTGACACAGTGTCTCCTGAATTTCTAGTTGCAAAACTGACCCAACTTAGGTTCCCGAATAACTTGTTACAATGGATTGAATCTTACCTCAAAGGGCGTACCATGACTGTAAAATGTGAAAATGTTAGATCAAGGTGCAACGACGTTAAGCTTGGAGTGCCACAGGGGTCAGTGCTTGGACCATTGCTTTTTTTGTTGTATGCAAATGATTTGTCAGAATATCTGAAAGATTGCCACCTTACCATGTTTGCGGATGATACCACTATCACAGTTACAGGGGGAAATATTGATGTACTGCTTAGTAAGGTAAAATGCATAATCGATAGTTTTAGCTCCTGGTGTCAGCGAAACAGATTAATATTAAACTCCACAAAAACTGTAATAGTAAATTTCTATAATAGGAAAAATAATGTTCCAGATGACCTACAAACTATTGACGAAATAAAGATTAGTAGCGAAATAAAATTTTTAGGAACTTACTTGGATGAAAGCTTATCATGGGATCTGCAAATAAAAGATGTCTGCAACAAATTAAACAAGACATTCTTTGCTTTAAGGCAAATGAAATCATGNCCTTGTCACGGTAATGCGGGGCTCCGCCGCGATTGACCTTCTTTCCCTAGCTACTCGTGGAACTTTTATGGACAGAGTAAACTTAAAAATTCTTTTTGGCGCTGAGTCTATAGAGAAGATGGATGTCGAGCTTACGACTCCAACTGACCTCCCTGTAAATTTAGTTCAGGAGCGAGAGCTTCTTAATTCCCCAACTCCTGATCCCATTACTTTACCTGAAAAAAGGTTTGGTGGTACAGCCAGGAAATGACTGAGTCGTCTCCTCAAAAGTGGGGTAGCTCTTGCACCTCCTTGCACCAAATTCTTGAGCGGCGTACGTAGAATCTGTCTCAGGTGGAGGAACAAACCTCTCATGAGCAGGTTAGCAAACGTTTGCGCCCAAGTGATGATTCACCAAAACGAGAGGCGAAAAAGCTCTGCACGGTTGAATCTAAGGCATCGTCAGGTGTAGCTGACGTACAAAAACCCTGATATGGGAAGGTTGTTGCGGGTATCAAGGTGAGAATATTGCACTTGACTATCCGACTACCTCATTAACAATGAAACAGCAGAGCATATACTTTGTGTCTGCCCCGTTGGGAACCGAATCAGGTTTTTAGAGTTCGGCAGAGCCGTATTCTTACCATTTAACCTGAAAGACCACTCACCATACAAACTAATCGGCTTCGTTAAGAAGCTGGGTTTATTTGGTCGAGTGTGAATAGGTGTGAGCCACAAAGTTCGGAAGTTACTGTGGGAAAGACCCCCTATACAAAAGCTATTTGTAGGTTAGACCCTTTAGAAATGATTATGAAACGTAGCAGGCAGTTAATCTACAGAATATTGCTTGCAATATCGAAGATTGGTTGCCTAAAGATCATAATCTGATTTTTTATCCTGCTGGTGATACATGATGGTCTTCGTGAAATTGTTTCGCTTCCAGATAGATTACCATCTTCATCCACAACTTTTTTGGTGCGTATGTGTAGCGTGAATATACATAAATATATTTCATCCATATAAATAATAGGTCGACATTATTTTCTATAGGTCCACATTTTCTTCAATGTTTCTATCCTAAGTAATCCATCAATATTTTTATGTTACTTTTCACCTTTCTCCAGCTGAATTCAAGGTTTCAAGGTTATTAATTTTTTCCTCAGACAATGCTACCTATGATAGTTTTATGAATTTTCCTAAGCGTAGGAATATCATCCATCACAATTCTATTATTCTGATACACCTCTTTTTATTCAGAGCTGAAAATATTTTTCTCGCCATTTTCTATTTTTTCATCACTGATTTGATTTTTCGTACAATTCGCACGTAAACCCCTGTGGCCTCAGCTAAACGTTCTTGGTTTCAATTTTACTCATCATCACAATCACTAATTAACTTCTCGAAGGAAATTCTTATTCCGTCTACCGTTGCTTCCGCTTGCATAAATTTCAATACGTTGTTCACAGTTCCTCTGCTTTATCCACTAACCTTGTTTTTCAGTTTACCGTTCAATGGCATCTTAAAGATGACAAATAACCCACAGTTCCGCACCCAGAAAATTTCTCCACTCACTCTATCAACACGATGTTCACTACACGAGTTCATCGATGATAATGAGCTCTCGAACCACTCCGCCTCCACACCATAATATATTCCACATTTCCTGGTCTATTTCTATTGTGTAGCGACCGAAAAGAGCGTCGAGAATACGCCACAGGCAATTGAATACAGGTATACGCGCAATCCGAGCAGAATTAACACAGGTTAAAAATGTGCAAGCAAAGCGAGAATGGCTGCCACTTAATGCTCTAAGAGAGAGTGCGAACAAACGTTTAAACTCCGGCATCATAAATATATTATGGAACTAATTTGAAAGTCCTGAAGTAATTTTAAATGCCCACCTTCGGAATATAAATTCAAACACGAAGAAAACACGTACGTTGAGCCAAGTTTATCCGGATGTTTGCAGAAAGTTTGCACGTTTTCTCAAATTACTGTTGGAATAAGTTAGATCTGAGTTTTAATTACGGTGCTTGTTACATACGACTTTTACTGAAGCGATTCTTTATCGCCATCAATTAGATGTTGAGGTGATAATTGCAACCTGGGAAAACTCGTGTCTTTCTAAAAAGGAACTTATAACAATGTCGATTTCTGAAATTCGGACTTAGATTTTCATTACCACTGTTCTGTCTAGTACTTTGTTGTTGGGAATCCAATATGGAGAGAGTATTTCAGAAATATCCATCGACAGCCACTTGTAGAAAACGTTATAAAACGATCACCTCCAGCGTTGTTGAAGAGGTGTACCTTTTTTACTTGGAAAAGGTGTGGGAATTAGGTTTTTTCTTGAAAAGTACCAAAAGTTTACTGTCAAAAAAGTTAGGGCAATTTGAAATGAATAATGACAGCGTACGCAGCGCCCTCTAGATGTTACATGGATTCTTCCTAGAACCGCCGACAACAAAGACCACACACGCCCAACGTTGACCGTATCGCCAAACTCCAAAATGAGATTGTGGCGAGTCAGAAAAATTCCTTCGAACGGAATGAAACTTTTCCGAATTCATTTAATTTAAAGGGTATCCGCGATAAGTTGGAAGTTTCTTTATTCGATTGAAATACCCGGAGCCTAGCTAAATTAAACAGAAGTTCTACCTCGAGTTTCACGGACCGTTTCCGTGTAACTTTTCGATGTTTTCCATTTGATGTCGACGTCAAAGTTCGTAGTTCGAAGCGAAAATATATTATTTTCGGTTCGGGACGTGATGTTTTCATCGCATACGACGAGACGTTTGGTTTAATTAAATTCTGATTATTGTCGAGAAAGCATTGGGTACAGGAAGAGATGCCACAATTGTTGGTCGTCAGTTGTATAGCTTTGCCTCTAAGGTACAGGAACGATGAAGAGAGATGGTAAACTGTCCACTACCAACATTTATCAGGAAGTACAATCGGGAAAAAAAAATTACCTTGAATGAATTCGCCAAGTGTTGACAACTACACATATACCACTTGGGAACGGGAACCCCAATTATTCCTTATGTGCAGCTGGAAAAAGATTGAAAGATGAGTGATATATAATTGTAAATAACACTGGTAAACACACAGTTTGCTGCCGGATTTTTTTTTTACTGTTTGTAGNAATTTTTTTTGTATTATGATTTTTTTTCGGGGTGCCAAAGAAGAGTCATATTTTTTTTAGTTTTGCTTATATGCGCACTCAGTATTTTTGACCATTTAATAAATTTTGTTGTAAGTTACATTCGTTTAATAATCACCCGTCAACTTTTTTCCCTAAAGCGATCTAAAAAAAAAATTATTGCCATTTTTAAAAATATCCCTAGACTTTTCCGATGTGTATATATAATACTGCTACCCATCAAATAAACGAAACACGAATAAAAAGTAAGATATCTATTGTACAACAATATACTTACAAAAATCATCACACATATCTGCCAAAAAAACTTAACTTTTCATATAACCTAACCAGCATCGCAGAACAAATCTGTTATTCGCCGTCACCTAAAAATTTCCTTTCATATGATTTTCTTGCAAAGGCTTTAAAGAGACGGTCCCTTTGAAGACTTCAGCAGTAATCCGCCATCATGTGAGTGTCCCATCTCCCCTGATACCTCTCTTCCATCGTTTTGATATCTTGGTAAAAACGTTCCCCTTGTTCCTCAATAAGGTCACCAAGATTTTCTGGGAAACGGTCAAGTGGCTGTGGAGGTATGAATTTTAATACTCATATGACAACCGTGTTAAAATTGTTGAGCATTTCTTCCACTAAATCCCGGTAATTTTTCGATTTATTGTTTCCGAGAGAAATTTCCAAAACTTTCACAAAAGAGCACCATGCATTATACTCAATTTCAGTCATCGATTCTGTAAAATGCGAATCTTTCATAAGTTGTCGTATCTGAGGCCCATCAAATATTCCGGCTTTCAATTTTTATTTACTAAGTGCAGGGAATTTGCTGGACAAGTATTCAAAACAAGGACGATTCTGGTCTAGGCCTTTACAAATTGTTTCATCAACCCTAGTTTAATATGTAACGGAGGTAATATTATTTTCTCTCTGTCGACCAATGATTCGTTAACTACGTTAGCTTCTCCTTGACCTAAAGCATCTCTAGAACGCTATTTCTTCTACTACAGTGTTGGTCCTAAGTCCTGCTATCCCATAGACACAGGAAAAAGGATATTTTGTATAGCCACCTTGTTGTCCCAGGAGAAAGTTCACAATCTCAAAATCAACACAGATCTTCCACTCTTGTTAGTCGTACTTGATGTTTTTTAGCACCAGCGATATTGTTTCATATTCTTCTTTCAGTCAATTGGTATACTTCCATATTTGTTGCCATTATGTAGAAGGACACACTTTAAACTTCGTTTGGTGTACACTCCGATATACCCATTTTTTCTAACAGTGTTACAAAAAACCGTATCATCTTGCTGAGAAAAAGAAGGCAAAAGATCTTTTCTCTATTATGGTAGTATGTTATTTTAGTGTCTGGGTGAAGAAATTTCGTTTTCTACAGTCTGGAGGCAAGCAACTCGGAAGAATCCTTTGGAAGGTTCAAATCTCTAATAAGATCGCTTAGCTCTTCCTGAGTAAAGCGCTCAGGACGTGTTGAATCCCCTTCAAAATCACTGTCGTCTTCCTCAACCCTATTAGTATGTAGTTCGCCAGATAACGTTTCGACATTATCCTCTGGTAACGTAGGTAGGCTGCTAAATATTGGAATGGGTATCTGCTCAAGCTGATGTGGAAGTGGTCTTATTGCTGGATCCAGGTTAGGATATGTCCGGGTATGTCGATTGTTACGATTAATGTCCTTTATATTCACAAGACAGAAATAGCAATCGTCAAAATGATTTTTTGGTTCCCTCCATACCATAGGAACACCAAACTTTAAACATTTTCGTTGTCCTTTCGTCCACTGTCGCAAGTTTTCAAGACAAGTTTTGCACACTACATATGGAGCCCAGGATTTATCTTGA